CTGACAGCTGAGAGGTTTATTGTTGGCATAAGTCCAGAGTTGATGAATGTAGGTTACCTTTATTTATTTGAAATTGGAGCTAGGCAAGACAGTGACTGTTATGCAAGAATTGTTTACATTTCGTGGGAATCGAATTTATTGGAAAGTGCCTACGAAATACCCGTTTAAATTATTTTCTTCTGAGATTGGAATTTTTCTGGATTAAGAGAAGTACTAAAAATTAATTTAATTTCGTTATTATTTATTTTACTACTTTCATCTTTTACATTATTTACATTATTCGGACTATTGTCCTCATCTTTGTCGCCATATTTATTACAACGTTTCGACCGTTGTACGCTCCGGACTTCTTCAGTATCTGTCTATATTTCTAAGATGAGGTATTATGTACACTATTTACATTATTCGGACTATTGTCCCTCATCTTTGTCGCCATATTTATTACAACGTTTCGACCGTTGTACGCTCCGGACTTCTTCAGTATCTGTCTATATTTCTAAGATGAGGTATTATGTACACTATTTACATTATTCGGACTATTGTCCCTCATCTTTGTCGCCATATTTATTACAACGTTTCGACCGTTGTACGCTCCGGACTTCTTCAGTATCTGTCTATATTTCTAAGATGAGGTATTATGTACACTATTTACATTATTCGGACTATTGTCCTCATCTTTGTCGCCATATTTATTACAACGTTTCGACCGTTGTACGCTCCGGACTTCTTCAGTATCTGTCTATATTTCTAAGATGAGGTATTATGTACACTATTTACATTATTCGGACTATTGTCCTCATCTTTGTCACCATATTGCAACGTTTCGGCCGTTGTACGGCCTTCTTCAGGTGCTTGGAATGTCGAACTGAACCCTTTATTTCTCTCACTAGGGTAGACTGTTCTAGTTCCACATGCCATGTCTAAAGGATGTTAGTTATCAGTTATCTCCTGTTAATTTCCCTCTGAAAGTTCTCCCCTGCCTTAACCGGGTATTGAACTCACACTATTTGGGTCCTATCACTGGATCTAACCAACGCCTTTATCCACTGTGCCATGTGTCCTGAAGACACAACGGTCGAAACGTTGTAATAAATATGACGACAGATGAGGACAATAGTCCGAATAATGTAAATAATGTACATAATACCTCATCTCAGAAATATAGACAGACACTTTCATCTTTTAGCAAATAAGAAATAGATTTTCGTGTTTTATATACTCAAACTATTGGGAATATCTCAGTAGGCTGCAGAAGCATCCTGTAATTTGGTATCCATAGGAACAAACTTGCCCTTGCGCGAACTCTCTCGTGTGGTCACTCGGCCAGCAATGAGAGCTCATTGAGTGGACTTGTGATTTGTGTGACAGTCGCATTCAAATGAAATATACAACAGAATGTTTTCTGCTTGAAATATTGGACATCAGACCTTAGAAAAGATTCAAATGTTTAAATCCAGTGTATTTTATATTAATTAGTTCATGGGACCTTTAATAAGGCCTATTAATTAGTTCATAGGACCTTTAATAAGACCTATTAGTTCATGGGACCTTTAATAAGGCCTATTAATTAGTTTATAGGACCTTTAATAAGGCCTATTTTTAGTTTAGTTTGGATTGGTTTGTTTTGTGGCATATGAACCACAATGGGTTATTTAATGTCGACAAGATTTTTATTGCTGATAATATTTTTCTTCAAAAATATATTGCTGGCAATAACTTTTTTTCAAAAAGGTATTGTTGATAACATTTTTCTTCAAAATTTTATTGCTGGTAATAATTTTTATAAAATATTTCTTGTATTAAAACTTGTTTTTACATTTTTATAGTGTTTTCACCCCAGTTTTGGTGTTAGCTATTTGCCCATAGCTGTGACCCTAACAGGTGCTACCACCCCGGGTTAGAGTGGACCTGGGAACACCAGCAATTAAGAGGTGGTTCCCCGCTACTCAAAACCTTCTGGTCAGAGGCCTTGCTGTTGAATGTTGTTTATCGTCTTACCCATAGATTTTAGATTCAATATTTTTTTTTTATATTAATGTGCTCATTAGATCTTTATTAAGTAATACATCCAATGTATATTAATGGGTTCATGAAATCTTTAATAATGTCTCCTCGTTAGATCCAATGTGTAATTATTATAATAACGAATTCATGACACATCCAACGAGCACTGCTTTTTATATACAAAATGTTATCTTTTTTTTTTTTTAAGCGTTTCACCCAAGCATGGTGTCTGTTGTTTATATATCCCAAGGAGTAATCTCTTTAAATAGTCATCCCAAATTCTAGAGCTTTTCTTGCATTCCCTGACGATAATTATTTGTTTATAAATCCCATTGAGTATTCTGTTTCAATATTTATCTCCAAATTCTATAGCTTTACTTACATTCCATGAAATTGTCTATTTTCCTATACATCCCACTGAGCAATCTGTTTCGCTATTCATCTCCAAATTCTATGGATTATTTTATGATGATTGTTTATAAATCCCATTCAATAATCTGTTCAGTATACATCCCAAAACTCTACAGCTTTGCTTACATTTCCTGATGATTACTATTTGTTTTTAAATCTGATTGAAGCGCTACTGTTAGTTTCAATTCATAAAATGTTCTTCTTAAAATCAAATTTCAGAAAAATAAATTCCTCATATTATCGTATTGAGGCGGGATTTCTTACTATTTTTTTTTTGTCTGAAATAATGTGGAATGTCTACATATTGATTGTATCATTATTTTCCTTCTACTTATATCTGCTGACTTTTTACTTGTTGTTGATGTTGAATGTCTTCAAGTGGTTTGTGTTATTTTGTTTGTGATTCTGTTGACCCACCAAATATAATTATCTGAAAATAGAAATTACATGAATGTGGCATTTGAAATAAACCATTATTCCTGCAACTGAAGAAGCACTGGGAATGAGTAAGGAGAATACTGATAGACATGTTAAATCCTAAGATTCCATCTTTATCTGAAACATAAAAGACTATGTTAAAGGATACGTTTGCAAACATAAAATTCCATCAACATACTTTATGTACCTTAAGTTTCAGCAGTATTATGATTTGTATGATTTATGTGTGAGATGTAACATATGTAATATGTTATATTACATATATGTTATATTACATTAATGTTATACTACATATAGGTTATATATAATGTATTAGTATATTATTAAATATATCTTTATAATTTGTATTATGTTTTATATATGATTAATGAGCAAGTGAAACTAATGTTGGATACAACCACGTTAACTAACGACCAAGTATATATAATGTTTAACAGGTGTAATATTGGAGGGATCGTGACTTTTCTTATACAGTCTCAGTTACGATGGACTGGTCATGTCTTGAGAATGTCTGATGACAGCATACCCAAGATCCTAATGTAAAGCCAGTTAAATCAGGGCTACAGAAATGTAGAACGCCTATGTCTAAGATAAAAAGACAAGGCTGAAGTGCAACTTGTCAGCTGTCAATATAATTCATAACACCCTCGAGCGCTTATCCTTGGCCGGTAGAATGGGGATGAACGTGTTTTAGTAGACTCAGCAGTTTTCAATCTGCTTGTCTGAATATTCTTCAAGAAGCCAGAGCAGTATCTAAAAGGTCAACCAATCTAACAGTGATCTGATCCCACAATCGTCACTCTTGTTCCATATGCGGCCTCCTTTGTAAATCACTAGCGGGTTTTAAGTGCCACTTAAGATTATCGCACAAAATTTCATAACTGAATCAATTAAATATCTCAGATCCTCATACGTCAAAACTGACGGGAGAGTCCATTAGATAGATAGATAGAGAGAGAGAGAGAGAGAGAGAGAGAGAGAGAGAGAGAGTTTAGTATATATATAATAAAGAAGTAATTATACAAAGGATTAATTAGCAATTTTAATGTGATTAATAGTGAAATTCGGAAATATTACGCACCGAAGATGCCAATTTGACATTGTCGAAAGTACTTGAGTCGGGCTTATCAAATCAATCTAACAACAACTCAGATATAAGGATCGTATTATTCAAGGATTTTATAGTAAGTTAATGTCTCATTAAGTCTTGTTAGAGAAGAGATTTCGCCATTAATCACATTAACATTACTAATTAATTCTTTGTATAATTATTATATATATATATATATATATATATATATATATATATATATATATATATATAGATATGGATTTCCTGACATTCTCGGTCTGGAGGCACGATCCCAGCGCGCGGCACCTTTGGAAAATGCCTGAAAAACCATACCATGGGTTGACCCAAGCCTTGTGAATGAAATTTGGTAGGCGAAACACTTAGAGACCGTCAATGGCTGTGCTAGCAAGACGTTACAAGTCATCGTGACCGCGGATTAGAGTGTTCTGTTGTTGTTCAAATTGTTGGTTTAGTATATAGATAGATAGATAGATATATATATATATATATATATATATATATATATATATATATAGGTGTGTGTGTTTGCGTGCAGTGACAGGGCGGCGGGTGGCATATCTTTATACATTTCTATGTATTTGGGCGTTTATGAAAGAGTATCGAAATTATTAATATGTTCATTTCAGCGTGTGTGCATATATCTGCTTGTGTGAGAAAGAAAGAAAGAAAGAAAGAAAGAGAGAAAGGGGGAAAGAAAGAAAATCAATGAAACAATCAGAGAAGGAGATTTGAGAATATTTTTAAGAAAGAAAGAAAGAAAGAAAGAAAGAAAGAAAGAAAGAAAGAAAGAAAACTAAAAAAGCATCAAATATCGAAAGCAAAGAAACATAACACGAGAAAATTATCGAAAGAAAGAAAGAAAATCAATGAAGCAATCAGAGAAGGTGATTTGGAGGATAGTTTTAAGAAAAGAAAGAAAGAAAGAAAGAAAGAAAGAAAGAAAGAAAGAAAATCTAAAACTAAAAAAAAACATTAAATATCGAAAGCAAAGAAACATAGCACAAGAAAATTATCGGAAGAAAATTCAAAATGACGAAAAGAAAGAAAGAAAGAAAGAAAGAAATGGGGGAAAAATAACATAAA